TTCCTTTCAAATCCTGAAGTTATTCCACTGTATTAAAATTCCACAATTTGTTTATCCATTTCCCCAATTTTAGATATTTGATTGTGTCCATATTTTGGCTAACATTAATTAGCTGCTAGAGTAAATCAGATACAGATATTTTATGGCCAAATATTTTCTTTCTCTTGGGTAAATGTGAAGGAGTAGAATCTCTGTTCATTTTAGAAAGTGTATGTTTAACATTTTGAAAAAATTTCCAAACTGTTTCCCAGGATAGTCACAGCAGTTTATATTTCCAGTTCCTCGGGTTGTAATGCAAATACTCAGCATGGTCAGTCTTTTCATTTACCTATTTTAGTGAATAGGTAGCAATAACATGTGGTTTTAATGTGCACTTGCCTAATAATTAATAATTTTTATCTTTTCGTGTACTTATTTGTAATCTGTATATTTTCCTTGATGAAGTATCTCTGCATATGTAAATCTATAAATGTGACACACCACATTAACAGAATGAAGGACAAAAAAATATATGTTCATCTCACTAGATGCAGAAAACACATCTGAAAAAATTCAACATTCTTTCATGATAAAAACTCTCAACAAATTAGGCATGGAAGGAATGTACCTCAACATAATGAAGGCCATATACAGCAAACCCATAGCTAGCACCATAATCAGCTTTTCCTGTAAGATCAGGAACAAGACAAGGACATCCACTCTGGTCACGTCATTCAACATGGTACAGGAAATCCTAGCAAAAGCAATTAGGCAAAAGAAATAAATAAAAGGCATCCAAATTGGAAAGGAAGATGCTAATTTTTCTGTTTACAGATGTCATAATTTTAAATATAGAAAACCCTAAAGACTCCACTAAAAAACTGTTAGAACTAATAAATGAATTCAGTAAAATTGCAGATTGTAAAATCAGCATACCAAAAGCAATAGGGTCTGTGCATACTAACAAAGTACTACCCAAAGGAGAAATCAAGAACAATTCTATTTACAATAGCTACAAAAAAAATTTATGAATAAATTTGATCAAGGAGGTGAAAGATCCATACACTGAAAACTATAAAATATTTAAGGACGTCTTGGTTGCTTCCAAATTTTGGTAATTATGAAAAATGCTGCTGTAAAGATCCATGGACAGCCACAATGTGTTGTATTTGTTGGTTTATTTGTGCTTGGTTTTAGCCACATCTTATTTGCCTTTTGTAATTTTTTTCTCATTTTAGCAAGAAAAGTCTGATACAAGATCCAGTAACTAGCCACTAACTTTTCAATATTAGGCAGGCAGGGGCAGGACAACATTTACATTTTTATAAATCAGTTAAGTGTTATAAGAAATGTTATTAAATTGTGGCTAGTAGGTAGAATATCATTAAGTGTGTTTTAGCATTCTAAAGCATTGACTCTTACTCTGTCTTCACTGGTTATTATTAATTTTTCAATGGAAATTCAGGAGAATGAACCCTTCAGGCACCACTATAAAACAGATTCTATTAATACTATACTGATTTCTTTGCTAAACAACTGATTTCTGAATTCCGCTCAAAGATACATACGTGAATATTCTATCATAAATTTAAAAACTATTTATATTATAGATTTCAACATCTCCACTATCACATGATTGTGTCACTATGTGGTCTGGCTCCCAAACCCAAAGTTTATAATAAAATTATTATAAAGACGTCTCTGCATTATAACTCATTGTTCAATATATCATTGCCTTATTTACTTTGTCCCAACGTGTTTTGTTTTTGTTTTATGTAGGTAACCCTACATACAACATCTCAATGTAGCATAAAATTAAGTAAATTTCTAAGTCATTCTGGTATGCTAGAATATGTATTTGACAGGCTGTTACTTTAAACTTCTAAGTCCTTTTCCCTTATTCATTCCATTCAAGTTAACAAAGTAGCATAAAATGTATGATGTTGTTTTTAGCTTTTTCATTTATATCCAGTTCTTTCTTTATAAAGTTTCTAGGCCAATAATCTTTTGTAAATTAATGTACTTCCTTTGAAAATAATGTTTGACACCAAACTTTTCTCATGGCGTTTTTCATCTCTGTATTTCTCAGAGTATAGACTAAGGGATTGAACATAGGTGCAATGATTGTGTAAAAAAGTGCAAATACTTTTTCCTCACGGAAAGTCATAGGAGGTCTAAGGTAGGCAAATATGGAAGGCGCAAAAAATAAGACTACCACAGTGATATGAGACCCACAGGTAGAGAGAGCTTTGCGTCTTCCCTCGGCCGAGTGATTTCTTAAAGTGAATAATATAATGACATAAGAAACAAATAAGACAACAAAAGTAACTAAGGCAACCATACCTGAATTGGCAACCACAAGAACACCAGTGACGTAGGTATTAGTACAGGCAACTTTTAGCAAAGGGAAGATATCACAAAAGTAGTGATCAATCTCATTAGGACCACAGAAGGGTAACCGGATTGTCATAGATAATTGAGGAAGGGAATGGATAGCCCCACCCGCCCAAGCAGCAAAGACTAGGAGATTGCACTTTGTCCTGTTCATGATAATCATGTAGTGGAGAGGTTTACAAATGGCAACATAGCGATCAAATGCCATGGCAGTAAGAATGAATACCTCAGTATTTCCAAAGAAGTGCATGGCAAAAACCTGTAACATGCAATTATCATAAGAGATGGTTTTTGTCCCCGCTAGCAGGTCACCAATTAATTTGGGTGTAACACTAGAGGTATAACAGATGTCCACAGAGGACAAATGGCTGAGGAAATAATACATTGGTTGGTGAAAAAGAGGAGTACATCCAATGGAAACAAGGATTAGAAGATTTCCTACCAAGAGAGCAACATAACAAAAAAAGAAGAGTGCAAAGCAAAATATTTGTATGTTCTGATCATAAGAAAGTCCCAAAAGAATGAATTCTGAGATGTTTCTCTGCATTTCCGTATGTTTGAGCTTGATGTTTTATGCACTAATAAGTTAAATATCTGTGAGAAAGAAAACATAAATTTGGATGAACAATTAATACTATGATCCCAATAGTATAACAATTTCTAAGAAATAGATAGCCATAAATAGAATAATAACATAATTATTATTGACTTATGTAATTAAGCATTTCCTTTTTCATTATATCTCATTTTACAAGTCTCAATAATATTATATAGGAATAATTATGTTTTCTACTATTACCCGTAATGATTAGAAAATACTTAATGTTATTTGAAAATTAAAAATCTGTTTATTACTATTAAGTATATTGTTTAGTTAAGAATAAAGATTTAATTAACCTTAGACAAAGAAAGAGCTCTTTTGTTTATGTTTTAAAAGTGTGTGCCTTATTCATAGGGTCAACTTTCCTTCTTCTAAAATGATCTGGCTAAATTCCCCAAGTTATGTGAGAGTAAATCCTCAGAAAATGCAAATATGTTTAAACACCACAGCTTGATTTCAGAACTTTAATTTATGTAAATATACTCTTCTTTCCCATGTCAGCAAATATTGTCAATAGATCATGTTAAACCAATGTAATTGCTGTTATATTAAAAAGCAAAGAATGTTTGAAAACTACACAGCAAAAGGAAGAATGTCATTTAATAACCGAAGTTTTGAAAAATAATAAGCAAATCCATCCATTTATCCTATTACATTTCATGTGTTAAAGACACCTTTTAAAAATACTGTCATTCAAGTTCGAGATGGCAATAAGCAAAAGAGACATATTAAATCATTAAATTCCACTCATAGGTATGAATTGTGTATTTGTCATGGCTTTTGTTAGAAATTCAATATATTTTATAAATAATTAAGGGAACAAATGTCAATAAAAGGAGATGATAAAGAAGGTAACTTTAAGACAAACTCTGTGGTCCGTTAGCAATCAGTGATACTTGTTGCATGAATAAATAAATGAAAAATTCACGGGTATAAATCTTTTGTATGTTATGTATAATCTTAAGACATTATGTAATCAGTAGATTAAAATGGTATGTAGCATAGAGAGAATGCCCTCCAGGAGGTATTTTACCCACTAATGAGGAATTATCTGACCTCAGTGGGGATGCAAAAGCTCTAGCACACATCCTATCCTAGTCTGAATCTGACGTGACAATCCTATCCGGACCCCTGAATGTCTACTATATTATAAAAACGTAAAATATATCTGTCAGAAGATTATTTAGAAGACATCACAAAATCAATATCTATGTTATTTATAGTCTTTGAGATAAATTTAGATGGCAAATAGATAACAGTTACAGCATTTAGAAACTGGTCTATACTGTAGGACATCAATTCTACTTTTAATTATTATTCAAAACTCCAACTTTATCAAAGAGAATTTTGAGTTTGTTCCCCCTTGATCATGCATATCACTATATGCCTTTCTAGACTCCTTTATATAACAAAACAAAAAACAATCATTGGACACAGAGTGGTCAGAAGTAACCAGTAACTAAAAAGTATCAGAAACTGGATGGGAGGGTGTTTACTGACCTCTCTCCTACATCTGCCATCTACATCTCTTCTACATTTTTCTATCACGTCTGATGCTGATTCTTTGTTTCTGAGGTGGCATATTGTTAACTTTTCAAATACTTTCGTTTACCTGAAACAATTTTATTTTAAAAGAGTTATTATATAAGTAGACTGTGAGTAATTTAAAAGTGAGAATCCTTTGATTTTTAAATAAAAGAGACTCAGAAAAAGAGATCTAAGTAATTTCTCTGGATCGGAAGTAATATGCTGTGCATGTCAAAAGGCAAAACTGATGATTCTCAGCCCAGCTGGGCCTGCACACCACGCCCAGGAACAGAGTGGGAGGGAGGAGGGGGTCTCACGGAGGACAGCAGTAAAAAGAACTATTTTGAAAGCTCATTTCTGTAGAGAAGAATCTGCAGTGACAGGTTATCAGAACACACAGTCTGTCTTCCTGACTATTTATATAAAAAGATATTTTGTATTTACTATAAATATGTGTTCTAGAATTATCTGATTCTAAATCAGTTTGAAATGATATCCCCTCTGTTTTAAAAATATGTGAATTCCTTAAGTCAGGATTCTTGCTTTTTTTCTAGGTTACTATTGATGTTTAATCTACTGTTTCTCAATCTCTCATCCTGTATCTAGGGGAATGTGATTAATGGTCACTGTTGATAGCAGAGGTAAAAGGGAAAAGTGAACAGTCAGGTGAGGATAATTTTAGTCATTAAAACAATATTATCTTGACCATAAAGATAGTAATAAAACATATATTAAAAAATGAAACCATAAATGAGGAAATAAAAAATATTAGGCAATGAGTAACCAAGTGGTTAGAACAGGAACAACACAGAAAGAGGTAGAAAGATAGAGAAGTGTAAAATAATAATGGATTATGTTCCTTGACCTAATTGTTTAAACTCTTAAGCCTTATTTTCCTCATTTATGCAATTAAGATATCTACATAATTCAGAAATACAATGAGGAATATGTGAGATATTATGAAATACCCTAGTGGCATATAAAGTTAATACACAGTTATTTTCCTCTTATATTCTTTCCTTTTTCAGTGGATAGTTTAGAAACTAATGAAATTGTTATGCACACACATCTGTCACCGAGTCCAATGAAGAAATAAAGAAAAAGAATCACAATATGAATTTAATAAATGTGATCAGGCAAACTTCCATGTAGACATTTTAAGTTAGACTGATGATGAGTTGGTTATCTTGGGCATTTCTTAATACTAATCACCAGCCTGATATTTTTGCACTCTAAAACTAATCAAATGATTATTTCTTTGGTAGTATTGAATTAAAAATTTGCATGTCCTTTGGGGTGTTAAATCAACATCATAAGAATAGGTGCTCTGCTAATTAAAGTGCAATTTCTAGCATATGTTCAAATTTTCTCTTTAGGGTATCAGAATGTAACAAGCTATAAACTTACCATGGTTGAGACAGACAAAAGTAGTTCATTTTAGGATGGCATGTTTTTGAAAAGATGGGAAATTCATCCTTATATTAGATATTCAACCATTAACTGGACTATTTCTTAATAGGAATAAATACAGGTACAAGAATGGTAAACAATGAAATTCACTGCCAACTTGAAAGTGCCTTTAACTTTAACGTTATTGTTATTAAGTGAAATTCTGCTTATAAATAACACACAATTAGAACCAAATTATGCTAAAATATTTGTATAGTAATGAGATTATCATATGATTCAAAAGAATCATAGCCTTTAGAATGAAATTATATTAAAAAATGTAAATAGCATGCAATCGGCCTAGCACATTGTTGGTGGAACTCTCCACAAACCAAGGCAGCAGGATAATTCATTGACCATCAGGTCTGAGCAGCTGCCAGGTTAGTTTTAGGCTACATCAGGAAGAATTCCACCCTTAGATACTCAAACTGTCAATTCACTCCAATACCAAAATCAGAATAAAATATAGAGAATGAAAAACCAGTAATTAGAACACACCCAGATTAAGTCTTTGAAAATATTTGGGAAATCTCAACATGTTATATAACTTCTACA